GTGCCTCAGTTTCTCCATCTGTAAACCGGGGATAACAGTGGGCTTCTCCCCAGCCCTGTGGTCCAGCCATTGGGCTGCCAGCCACAAAGCGGGGGGCTCACACCCAGGAGCTGCTCTGAGGTAGAAAGATGTCGCCATCTTCAGAGAGCCGGAAGTCGGGAGCCACTTGATGGCAGTGGGTTTCTTGTGAGGAAAAAGGAGTGGATCGCTGTCACGCGCTGGGAACAGGGTCTGACAGGCGGGAGTCCTGAAACGGGTGGTGCCCCCTAGCATGGCTGACCCCCCAGCCCGCCCTACCTCACCCCTCAGGCCCCCTCGCCCTCTGGGGCAGCTGGCCGTGGACGACTCCTCGGACGAGGGCGAGCTGTTTCTGAAGAAGCAGGAGGATTTTGAGCACAAGTACAACTTCCGCTTTGAGGAGCCAGACTCGGCCACGGTGGGCGGTCAGGGCTGCGCTGGGGGGCGGGGGAGTGAGTGGGCAGCCCCAGGACCGAGCACCCAGGATCACTGCCGGGGCCTCCGCCTGGACAGGTCAGGACCTACCCGCGGAGCATCTCGTCCTCCGTGCGCCGCAAGGACGAGCGCCGTAAGGAGAAGCGGGAAGAGACTCGGGAGCGCAAGAGGAGGGTGAGTGTGCCCTGCTGCCAGGGAGGCCACCGGGACTCAGGGAAGCCCAGGGCCGCCCTCTGACTCCTGCCCTCTGCCCTGCGGCCCACAGGAGAAGGCCAAGAAGCAGCAGGAGCTCAAACAGCTGAAGAACCTGAAGAGGAAGGAGATTCTGGCCCAGCTGGAGAAGCTGCGGCAGGTCACGGGCAACGAGACGCTGGGCATGGAGGAGCGAGACCTGGAGGGCGACTTTGACCCCGCCCAGCACGACCAGCTCATGCAGGTGCGGGACGCCCCACCCCGCTCAGCCACACAGCAAGTTCTGGGGAAGGGCCCTGCAGCAGGGCGGTGTTCCTGGCGGGCACATCAGAGAGGTGATGTGACCGCTGTCTGTGAAGCGGGTCTCTGTGTCGTATCTGACCTGACCCGGG